TCAGTTGCTTGTCATGGCCCCTCAAATGGCCCGCGAAAGCATCGGCGAGAAGTTCGGAGGAGATTTGCACGCCACATCGGCGTGCAGTGCGAAGTACCGAATGGAGTGCGCATGGGGGCAACTCCACTCTCACAGAGCAGGGCTTCTTAACAAAGCTACTTCTCTACGCTTTCGCCTGAAGCTTTTTCGAGGCGGTTGTCGTGCCTGCTGTTGCCTGCGGTCTCTCGACCACGGCCGCGACAACAGCACATCCTCGTGCTCTGCTTATACCAGCGCGTTCAGAAATGGCCCTCGGGATCTTTGGTTTCGGCGAGCTTCCGCGCGAAAGTCGGGGACAAGCAGGGTGACAGTGCACACATAACGTTCACGTTGCTCTGAACATCCTTCCCATGTCACATTGGCTTTACGTTTTCGACCGTTGCGCGTGTTCTCACGCAGCTCCACACAGCTCGTGAGCGCTCCAAGAGCGCCCAAGATGGCTGCCAGACTGCAGGGTGGAGGAAGAGGAGGAGGATGAGGATATCGTGCAGGATTGCTACTGGCTTGCTGCGGCAAACACCTTGCTGCACCTGTCAACCGCTCGAGCGCGCGCTATTCTGCTCTTGCGTGTGCGTGGACTGGGATGCAGAGGGCCAGCGGCTCCAGCCAGCTGCCTGGACTCTCCAGGTGGGCTCCAGGCCTCCCGGAGCTCGCTCCCACGGCCCCAGAGATGTCCCCGACGGCCCACCGACGGGCCAGGAGGGCCCCCAGAGGTCCCGCGAGACGATCGAAGAGCGCCCCGAATCGCCGACAGTCAGCGGGCACCATATCGAATCCCGACGGCCCAATAGGCCTCCAGGACGCCTCCGAGATGCCTCCAAGAGCACCCCCACAGGAGCCCCAAGAAGCAGCAACTCATTGATGTTCGAGTGCAACTGCAAAGCGTTTCTCACATCAGCCGTTCCGGCTTTCTCACGTTCTCAGACGGCCCGAGAGGCCCCCGAGCTCGCCCCGAGACCGCCTCAGACGCCCCCCAGAAAGTGCCAATGCAGCCCCTGGGGCCCCAAAGCAGCCCTCGAAACGCCCCTGAGGCGTTCGACACGGCCCTGAGACGGACTAGGATAACCCACAGAGCCCCCGACAGACTCTAAGAACGCCTCCAATCGAAAACAGCGGCGCGGCCCAAATTTGCCTCCCAGACGACCGAAGATGCCTCGAAGAGCACTGCCACGAGGGCCCGTGTGGCCAAGGAAGGCTCTAAAAGAGCACCAGGACCAGTGCAGGTGAACTCACGACAGAGAGCGCTCGCGAGACGATGATGACGATGATGATCATGATGGATGACGACGATGGTGGTGATGACGACGATGATGTGGAGGATAATGATTATTATGGTGCTCATGACCTCGATGATGCTGATGCTGGTTGCCACACTGCTCCTTAAGAAGAATATGTTGATGATCATGATGATGATGATGATGATGATGATGATGGTGGCGGTGATGGCGATGGTGATGATGATGGTGCCGATGATGATGATGCTGATGCTGATGATGATGATGATGATGATGATGATGATGATGATGATGCTGATGACGATGATGGTGGTGGTGGTGATGCTTGTGGTGGTGTTGGTGTGAGTGTGATGGTGATGGTGGTGATGTTGATGTTGATTGCGATCATGATGATGAAGAAGAGTAAGAAGTTGATGATGGTGATGATGAAACGATGATGATGATGATGATGATGATGATGATGATGATGATGATGATGATGATGATGATGACGATGCTGATGATGCTGATGTTGCTGATGATGATGGTGTGGCGATGATGACAGTCACGATGATGGTGATGATGACGATGATGATTATGATGACGACGGTGATGATGATGATCATGCCGCTGATGCGGATGCTGTTGCTGATGATGATGCTGATCATGATTCTGATCATGATGATGATGATGCTTATGATGATGTTGATGGTGATCAAAAAGATGATGGTGCTGCTGATTATTATGGTGCTGATTATTGTGTAATGGTGCTGATGATGCTGATGATGATGCTGATGCTGATGCTGAGGAAAACGATGTTCTGATTGGCGTCGTTAACGATCAGCATCCTTCTGCTCTTCGATGCCACGACCGCACTCGCTTGTGAACCCCCCACCCGGGATGTGCTAGAACTTGAGCGCGCGCGAAGCGCGCGCGATAGTTCTAGTTTATAGTCTTAGATTCTTAGATCGGCGGGGGGCCCTGGCGGCGCCTACGGCGTCGCCCCTGGCGCACTTCGGATGCCAGAGAGGTGGGTCCAGCGCTGACCCAAGACATCCGCACTGAATTAGTTTTGTTTGTGCCATTGCCTGATCCTGTAATGATCTGGGCGTCGCGACCCGGGGCCTCACAGGCGCTGAAAACATAGAGGCGGAGTTTTTTTTTGCTATTTGGCGCCTGGAGGCTGTTTTGTTCTAGGCTCCGGGGCCGTCCCAAAAACGACTGCGGCTGAAGGAGAGGGCGCACGAAGACCCAAGAGGCCTCCAACAGGCCCTCAACCCGAGATGGCCTCAAGACGAGGGCCCGAGATGGCCTCGCCCGAGCCCAGGAGCGTCACCGCACGCTTCAAAAGGAGCCCAACGGGGAGCTGAAGAAGCCCTCGGACGCAAACAAACGTAAGGTATGTGATCGTTTCTTTGTTCATTGCTTTGCCGATCGGCGCGGGCCCTCGCACCCCTCCCCTCCCCCCCCTGCTGGAGTAGACCTTGGCTGCTTCGGGCGCCCGTTTCGAGCAGGTGGAGCCTCCCCCATCGGACGTACTCTTCCAAACAGTCGCACTAAGCGTAGGTCCCGAGCCAGACCCCCCCTCCCACCCCCTTCCGCCCACTGTCGAAACGCCGAATAATGACACGCGCACTATCGCTGGGCTTTTACATCCGAGCTCTTTCACGTTCTCGCTCTCCCGAGCTTTCTGGCAGACACAGCACCGGCCCCCTTATCGCCCCAGGCCCCAAACGGTCTCGCGAGGTCCCCAAGAGAAGGCCCCCAGGCGACCCCGGGATAAAGCCGGGCACGTCCCTCTACAGAAGGAATATTCAAAAACAGTCAATAATTTATACGTTTTTTTTGTCCCCCCCCCGTTTTTTTTTGGGTGCAATTGTGGTATAGTTTTTGACAATTTTTAATTTTTCGTCCAAATCCACCTGTAGGGGGACATGCCCGACCTAACCCTGGGGCTGCCCTGGAGGCCAGCCCAATTGGCCCCACAGACAGCCAAAGAAGCTCCCAACAGGCCCCCAACCAGTTAACACGCCGTGCTCCGGAACCGTTTTGGTTCAAGCCTTCTCATTATCTGATGTACTTTCCGACCTTGCAGGCTTGTCTGACTCCGTATTTGTCTTCCCAAACAGACCGATGAAGCTCCTCCCCTTCATCGCTGTTGTGTATTTCGCATCATCGCTTACATTGCGCGAGTCGCAGGAGGATCCGCATTCCTTCGATTTCATAGGGCGCCAAAAGTTTGACGAGCTCGAGTGCCGACTTGACACATATCACTTCGAGGATGATCGTGATCGTGAAAAGATGGAAGTGCTCTACGGGAATCGCATGGCACCCTTAAATAACCAAACTGTGCGGCATAATACACAGAGCTTCGAACGCGAAGTCAAGAAACTTGGAAGCATTCCGAAGACGCTTCGCACATCTTGGGTGCGCAAGTTTGACGTGATGAAACACAATTCCACATTAATCCAGCAAGGGTTGCAGTCGTTCGTTGCTCACAATCCAGATTGGGACGTTGAAATCAGCGACAATCGCGAAGTCGACCGTGACCTCCATACGTATTTGAATTCAACCGTGTGGAATGCAGTGAAGAGTCGGCCCATAGTAGAGAAAATTGATTTGTGGCGTTTACTTATCATATACCACAAGGGCGGCATGTATGCCGACATTGATCGTCTGTTCAACCTGGACATGAAAACGGTGATCGGCAGAAAGACTAAGATGTTACTTCCCTTAGCAGGAATGGATTTCAGCGAGAAGGATCTGCCCAGGAGAATTTTCGACTTCAGCCAAGATTTCGTTGCTAGTGCTCCTGGCAATCCTGCCATCAAAGCTGCAATCGATCTTTCTTTGGACATGCATCTACAGTATAAGTACTGCGAGGACGGGGGTGTTGGCGGTTGTGGCAGCAATGTGTTTTCATCCAGCGTCGATTTCTTAATCTATGCAGGCGCCAGGCTGTACAACCTGGCGTTACAAAGTCACATATTCGGCATAGAACTTGGCAGCCAACCAAGTGAATGTATATCCAAGGCCCTTGTGGAACAGATCAAGAGCCTGAGCCCACACGTAGTCACTTATGTTGAACATCTGCCGTGTAATACCATTCTTGCCCAAGACGGTTGTGCACACCTATCTGGTGGTACCGACATGAAAGAAAACTATGAGGAAGCAAAGAAATCGTTTTTCGCAGATGAAGGCAGAGGCCATTGGTTCGATGAAGTCCAGAAGCGATTCAAGTTTTAGTATGGGCCCAACCCTTGGTTTTCTGTGCCAGTCTACTTGGTCTTGGTCAGGTCGATGGGTTTGGATCGTCGGAATCGGCCATCAGGTTTGGTGACTCTAGCCGAGGCCGAGGCTGCAGCGCAACATGGCCAGCACGATCAGATCGTCTCCTCATCGTCGTCGTCCTCCCCCTCCCCCTCCCCCTCCCCCTCCTTGCCCCTCCCCCTTCCTCCCCCTGCACCTCCTCCTGCTCCTTCCTCCTCCGTCCTCCTCCCGCTCCTCCCCCGGGGCGACGGCCTGGTCGGGCGGGGGCGCGGGCGGCGTGCCCCCATTGGGCCCGCGGACCTGCGCGGGACGCCTCGCGCCGCGGAGGCCTGCGGGGACGGCGCCGATGCCGACGCCCCTCGCCGTCGTGTGATCGTTTGGCCGATCGGCGCGGGCCCTCGCGCTCAGGAGAGGAGGGGAAGGAGGAGGAGGAGGAGGAGGAGGAGGAGGAGGAGGAGGGCGAGGGAGAGGAGCCCCCGCCTCCCCCCCCCACTGCAGTGGGGGCGCGCATCAAGAGGCCATGTGCTTTCCGTCGGGGTACCCTGGGTTTCTTCGCCCCTCGCGCTTCGCGGTGGCTTCCCGCGGCCGTGGAAGGGGCTGCTGCGTTCGGGGTGCTCCAGGTTTCCCCTCAGGTGCACCTCGCGCACGGGTTCTCAGGGTTGGGTTTCTTGCGAGGGTTTCTTGCGGCCGCGCCCGCACTGTAGCATTAAGTAGGGCCCGAGACGGCCTCGCCCGGGCCCAGGAGTGCCGCGGCACGCTTCAAAAGGAGCCCAACGGGGAGCCGACGAAGTTCCCAGACGCAAACAAACGTGAGGCATGCGATCGTTTGTTTGTTCATTGCTTTGCCGATCGGCGCGGGTCCTCGCACCCCCCCTCCCCCCCGCCCCGTGGAGTAGATCTCGGCTGTTTTTGGCGCCCGTTTCGAGCAGGTGGAGTCTCCCCCACAGGACCTACGGTCCCAAAAACAGTCGCACTGAGCAGAGGTCCGGAGCCAGACCCCCCCCCCCTTCCGCCCCATGTCGAAACGCCGAATAAAAAAACGTTCACCATGGCGTCGATGCGCTGCTGCAGCGCGTCCTTGGTTGGGGGAATGAAGACTGGCGTAAACATAACAACTCGGAGGTCCGCGCGGATTTCTCGGACCCGCGCTGGACCCCCCTCACTGGTGCGCGGAGCGCGCCAGGGGCGGCGCCAGAGGCGCCGCCAGGGAGGTCCAGCGCCGATCCAAGACATCCGCGCGGACCTTCGAGTTTTTTTTATGTTTATGTCATTGTTCGTTCCCCTATTGGTGTTCGTGTCCTTCAGCGCCTGAGCGAGGGGGGCCGTCGTGAGCGTCACCTTCGCGTGCGTGAAGGCACCCTCGTCCCAGCGCTTCACGTCAGCGTCACACTCGGACGCGCAGGCTTTAAAGTATCCTGCAGCACTGTGTGAGCGTGTTCTTGTTGTTCTACAGTGAGGGCCTTCAGCTGGTTCTTGATCCTATTCGCGATGCCGAACTGCTTGAGTATGGTTGTTGTTTCAGGTGCGAGTCCAACGCGGGCCAGTCGGCCTTGGTTCCGTCGAGCCGTCCATGTGGTGTTTGCCGTCCTGCATGCCGCCCGCGATGGCCTCTAGCACGTCGGCAACCTGGTTCGTCTCGAGCACCGCCGTGTCCCTCGCCAGGGTGCTGTACGTCTTCATGACCCTCTCCGCTGCAGCGGCCCATCCAGAGACCTTCTCGTGGAGTGCTTGAGACGCGTCGCAGCCGTACTTCGTGAGCACCACGTCGCCGTCTTGCGAGCCCACGCATTTCAGTGCGACCAAGGAAGATGACAGCTTGTCGAAGGCATCCTTGATCAGGGATTTAGATGTGTCCTCGGACCCGCTTACCGTCAGGAAGTGGTCGAGCTGCTTCGCTGCTTGGACGTAGTTCACGACGTGGGCGATCCGCATGTGGATATAATATTTCATGCGAGTGAAGTCGAGCCCAATGCCGATTGCGTCCGCCATCGCTGTCGCCAGGCGGATGTGGCCGAACGATTTGTCAAGCACAGTGGACATGTGAGGGTCGTTCACGGTCGCATCAACATCAGCTGACATCAGGACATGAATTTTATTGACAAGGTTTCAGGCCGCCTTGGCGAGGTCCTCGCACTCGGGCAGCGTCTCGGAGCAGATGTGCTGGTTTGCCTCGTGGGTGGTCTTGAGCAGGTCGTACGTCATCTCGTCTGGCCTGTCAATGTAGCTCCAGACACCGATCATCAGCGTCGATACGCTCTTGAAGCATTCGATGTCGCTGCGCCGCCGCATCAGATCATTGTAGGAGGAGCCCAGCTTGCATCCGTCCTCACCCAGAGCGAAGCCGGCGATCTCGGAGTAGCGCTGCATGAGCGTCACCAGCTTTTCCATGACGGACGTGTCCACGCGCTCGACGTCCGCCTCCACGAGGTCTTTGGTTTGACGGTTGATCGTATGCTGGAACGCATACTCTACCTTCATCGTCGAAGTCGTTTTGCCACGACACGTCTTCCTCCTCTTGCCTCTTGCTGAGCTGGTCGAGTCAGTTTTATGGGAGGTCTATTTCGTCCGTGTCAGGCTCCAGGGCCTGCAACTCCATGTGCAGCGCGGCAATCTTCGGAGCGGCTTGGATGTCCGGGCCCCGCGGAGGACGGCTTTTGCCTGAGCCCAGGGCTCGTGTTTGCCGAGCGTCTTAGACGGCGGGTGCCACTCTGCATCAGCGGTGGTCCCAGCGAGAAGGTCGATTGACAAGGACATGTGCGGCCCGCGCTCGGCAAGCGTCTGGAGGTCGTTGTTCGGCAGGTGGCGCAGCAGCGGGCCCACGCCCTTGACGATGCGGTACGGTGGGGACGCGTGCCAAGAAACCAGTTGGATTCTGCCAGGGTGCCCAGGGTTTCTTGGATTTCGATGGGCCCCCAATAAGATCTTGTCGATTTTCGATCGACAACTTTGGAAATTCACCGAACAAATCGCGGATTTCAGGGTTGGGTTTCTTGTGGAGGTTTCTTGCGGCCGAGCCCTCACTGTGTTACTCCTCGACAGTGGTGCAGTGCATCGGCCGCGCCTGCGAGGAGCCGTCCGCCGAGGCGCGGCCGAATTGCCGAAGGTAGCCGACCTCGGCGACGTCCTCCAGGGCAGGCAGCATGACGCAGCCCAGCAGGACATCTCGCGCGACGCTGCGACCTTCGCGCAGACGTCGCCCGCCGTGCTCGCCAGGGTGGGCTCGAACGTGCTAGGAGGGATCGGCGTGACGGGGCCCCAGGGCAGGAGGGCCCTCGCTGGTGCCACGGCGTCAGGAGGGACAAGCGAGGGCGCCCTGGAGGGCGCGAAGTTGTCCGCGCTTCGCGCCTCGCGGTTCGGCTCCGATTCCTCCTCGCCCTCCCCTTCTCCCCTGTGAGGCGGCGCGAGAGCGCGAAGTGAGTCGCGCTGCGCGCTTCGCGCAGCGCGAGAGCGCGAAGTGGGGAGCCCTTGGACAGAGAGCAGGCTCTTCCTCGGGCGGTCCTGCGAGGAGCTGGAACGAGCCCAGGACGCCCTCGCTCGACAGCCCCCCGAGGCGGGTGCGGCTCCGCTCTGCGCCCCCGTGCATGCTGGTCATACGGGGCAGTGGCTTCGACGCCGCCTCGGCCTTCCCGTGTCCTCGCCCTCGGCCATGCTCGCGGCGCCCGGGGGCGCGGGCTCGAACCGCTCCGGGGAGCACGCCCCGTCTCCCTCGGGGAGGCCGCCCGAGACCCGGCTGATGACCGCGCCCTTCTCCGGCGGGTCGAAGCCCTGCTTCCCCCGACTCGAGGCCACGCCCGCTGCCTCCGAGATGCTCCCGCGGCCCGAGCTCGGACTCGCCGCGGCCACGCCCGGCGCGGGCGACCTCGAGCGGTCGCGAGCTCCCGCCTCCGCCGGTGCTCTGCGAGGTGGCGGCCCCGCCTCAGTCAGGACCCCGCCCTCCCACCGCCGCACCGGCGGATTCGACGCAGGCGTCGCCGCGGGAAGACTGGGGCGCGGGGCTGGCAGCGCCTCTCGCCGCACTGGCGCCCACGCCCCCGCTGCCGCTCGGCACCGCCAGCGCGCTGGCGGCGGCACCGCGCGATGCCTCGGCCAGGGAGCCCGCGCTGGCCGCCGCGCCTCCGGGGCGATCGCCGTGCAGCGTCTGGGCATCCGGGAGAGAGGGCCGCTGGGCGGAGTCCTCTGCGGCACGATCCCTGCCTCCCGAGCCTTCTCAGAGGCCTGGCCCGTCACCTGGGTCAGAGTGGGAACCCTCGCGAAGCCGCGCCAGACGGTGGCCCGCCTCTGCCTGCCCGTCCTTCGTGGTCACCTTCCCGAGGGCGTCCATGTCCCCGCCAGCCCCGGAGACCTGCGAGGCGGCTAGCCTCATGGTCGACAGCCTGACCTCCGTGCGGGTGTAGCTCTTCTTGATCTCCGTGTGCAGTCAGCACGCATGGGAAGGATGGTACCCTCGCATCCTTGCCTCCTCGGTCCATCCTTGCCCACTCTCAGTGGCCGCGCCCCGCTCGGCAAGCTTCGAAGCTGCCTTCCAAGGCCCTTGCATCCTTATCGTGCGTCCTTATTATACAGTGGGGGCGCGCATCAAGAAGCCATCTGCTTTTCGTCAGGGTACCATGGGTTTCTTTGCTCCGCGCGCTGCGCGGTGACTTCCCGCAGCCGTTGAAGGGGCTGCTGCGCTCAGGGCGCTCGGGGCTTCCCTTCAGGTGCACCTCGCGCGCGGGTTCTCAGGGTTGGGTTTCTTGCGAGGGTTTCTTCCGGCCGCGCCCGCACTGCACGAGTTGACCGAGTCTACAATTTTCGCATTCCGCTGCTGCTGCGTGCGCTGGACGCGCGTCTTGGCGACCCGCCGAGGAGGCGAGGGCATCCGCACCCTGGCGGTCTGCCTCGGCGCGCTTGCCGAAGCCTTGGTTTCGGGGGCGGCAAAGAGGGGGGTGATGACTTTGCTCTGGTCCGAAATCTGGCTGAATCCCCCATCATCCGGCTCAATCCCGCTCAATCGGCGGCCTAGTTTGGCGCAGTAGCCCCCCGAGGGGGCTTACTTCTCCCGAATCCTTCTCACGAAGACCTCCCAGCATTTGCCTCCTACCAAAGAGTTAGGGGCCCTTTTTTGGTCCATCACCTTGGGCTCAAGGTCGGGGGCGGCAAAGAGGGGGGTGATGACTAGGGAGGGGTGGATATCATGGCGGGGGTTATGATATTTCTCCAGATCTCATGGCGCCTCTTCTTGTTTCATTACGTCCCTGGCACCCCCGCTGGGCCGCGCACATGCCGCCGGTCATGATTTGCACCCCCCCTCTTGGACCCCCCCCTCTTGGCCGCTCCCGATGGTTGAAGGCGCTGTCTCCGCGGCAGCTCTCGCCGCAATCCTGCCGCGGCACGTCCTGCTGGTGGTGCCGCTCGAGCGTCCAGCAGCACTGGTCGACCCAAAGGTACCGATACCGCCACTCCCCAGACCTCTCCCGGGGTGGGTTCTGACCAGGCTTTCCAGGCGAACCCGGCGGTGGCGACGAGGGCCCCCCCCGCCGGAGACCCAAACAAGGGGGAGACGGGCGAAGGGTAGAGTTAAGTCGGGCCTGTCCCTGTACAGGAGGAATATTCAAAAATAGTCAAACGATTGTCTGGGGACCTTTTCGGGGTTTGTTTTTGCACATGTTTGGATATATATATATATATATATATATACACAAACATTTTTACATATATATATATATATATATATATAATATTTTCTAAATTTTCGTCAAAAATCCCCCTGCAAGGGGACATGCCTGAGCCTCCTCCGCTCTCTGCCGCGACCAGCGGGCGGCGCCGCGGGCGCAGGCCGAGCGATGCGCGGGCTCGTCGCAGCGCCCACGCGCCACTGCGTCCGAGCCGGTCCCCCCGGCGGGGCGCGCGCGGCGAGCCGCCTGAGCAGTTCCGAGCAGAGCTCCGGATGGGAAAAACACACACGCACAGACACAATGAACCGTCGACTCCCAGGAAGAGATGGGGAACTATGGGAAGTGGGGGGGGGAAGACAGGAACCCAGAACGTATGGGAAAAGATGGGGACTCCTGTTCTTTGTGTGTATCTATTTGCGTGTCCTTGGGCCCCTTCCATAACAGCATGCCAAATCATATCATATTACAAGGTAGCATCGGGTGCGATAGCCCATCGTAGCTCAACCCATGCAAACTAGGATCCATGTCATAGCACAGCATGGCTCAGTCAGATTTGTCCACATAGCCTCGCGTATTATAGCACGGCGCATCCCGTTGAACTGCTCAGCATAGCGTGGCATCTGACAGCAACTCTCACGTACCTCAGCCCATGCCAAAGTAAAACAGCAAAAGTCCCAAGGGGATTGCACGGGCACAATGCCTGGGCTGAGAACAGCCCACGCGTCAGAAAGCCAACGTCTTGCAGATGATGGCGACGACGACGACGTCGACGTTGACGGAGGAGAGGAGGAGGGGAGGAGGGATGTGTCAGAGGCCCTCAGTCGAAAGGTCCCACCTTCTCGGCGAGCACGGCGTACCTGGCAGCTCTCCTCACTGGGGTGGCGAGGCGAAGGAGACGCAGGAGGATGTATCAGGAGGAGGAGGAGGAGAAGGAGGAGGAGGAGGAGGAGGATGGAGGAGGAGGAGGAGGAGGATGTCGGAGGAGGAGGAGGAGGAGGGATGTGGAATGCTGAAGCGGGGGGGAATGGTAGGCGTCCTGGGACGGCGGAGCTCTGAGAGAACGGGCTCCGGTGGGCTCCCACATGATGCGCCGCACGCGGGCCTCCGAAACCGAGTCTGACATGGCCTGCAGTGCCGAGGACTGAGCTCCGCCTCGGCAAGCACCCCGTGCTTGCTGGGCCGGAGCTCAGTCCTCGTGGCGCCCGCCCCCGCGTCGGCCGAAGAGGCAGGCGACCGAGGCGTCGGCGGCCGAGCGCGTGCCCGAAGTTGTGCCGACAACGTGGTGTGACCGAAACGGTGGTCCAAGCTACGACGAGGCCATACAGTGCCGTTTTTTTTGATACATGCTCTGCGTGCGGATCATGTATTTAAAAATGCAGGGATTTAACAACAACGATGAGTTCGTGCAGAACTTTCTTCATGCATTAATCATGCATTCAACATCCTACATATTTAACATCCTGTGTATTACAAGCTGCCCTGTAGTCCTGGAGCTTGTGCAGGTGCTTATCATGGCACTGCTTGGGATCACTGTCGCTGTCCCTCGCGATCTTTGTGGTGTGGCTCAGCGTGTCGTGCTTCGACAGGAGGGCTCTGTTCCTGTAGTTCTCGGCCTCGATGGCGAACTGCATGAGCCTGAGCCGCGCTTGTCCCTGCTCGGGTAACTGCGGTCTGCCATTGGGCATACATTGACGACCAGTGTGGGCTTGTACGTGCGAGCCGTTGCTGGCAGAGAAGTCCTGGCCGAGAATTGCTTTCGGATGGTCTGGAGCAGAGTTTGCCTTGAACCAGCGGTTGCAGGATGTGCCCAAGAGTCCATGGAGGGTCGGACCATGGAGGATGCCGGAAGGTGTTGGCACTGGCAAGCGTCAAAGCCGATAGGCCAACGACCCGATAAGGGTGATTCTGGCCCCAAGAAAGCCGATGGTGGCCCACAAATCCTACGAGGGTCCACGAAAGCCTATGACGGTACCAAAACAACCGATGATGGCCCCCAAACAGCCCGTGATGGCCCCCAAGACTGTGAATAGAACCCGTGTAATACCCTCATATATACTCCTTATCCTTACCTCTCCTGCGCCTGGCCGTTTGGGCTCAGGTATTGAGACAGATCGATCAGACCTTTGATCGTGCAGGAGGGAAAAATATCCATCTATCCCTCCTTCTCTCTACCAACGGATCAGGGGTTCTGTACCCTTGTACTTCAACCCCATACACAGGTTATCAGCCCTTTAAAGCTCACCTTCCCCGACCCGCCCGTGGTGACCTCGCACGCGGTCTCGATGGAGCCCCTGCGGCGCATGCGCCGCAAGGGATCCATCGAGGCCTCGCGTCCGAGCTCTCCCACGGCGCGACGGCTCGGTGACGAGTTGGAGAGCCTTAATGCGGACTGTGTTGGTGTTCCTGATACCCCCCCCAGCTCCGACGGACCCGAGGCGCGACTAGCTGCTGAGCTTCACCGCAGCGCCGCCCGCGGGGGGACAGGAGAAGGAGTAGGAACAGGAAGGAAGGAGTTTCACACGCCTACCTTCGATCCTCCATCCCCTTCCCCGTCGGGAGCAATCCCAACCGCGTCAGGCGAAAGCCTCACCGGTCACGATACTCCAGGGCGCTTTCGCGCTAACCGCCGATGGACCTCAGGTGCTGGTACCCCCAGCCCTGCGACCGTCCCTGTGGCGGGGCACGTAGCCACCTTCGAGGAACTTAGTAGACCAGTGGCGGCGCAGCCGCAGACGCAGCACCCCAAGGTATCATCGGATGAGACACCACGCACACATGGTCCGAGTCGCAGCTCGTCCGCGCGCAACCGCCGTGGAGCCCCAGGCCCATGCGGCGAGAGTAGGTCGAGCCCGCGTGCTGCCTCTCAGAGGCCATGCACTCCCCGCGACAGGGGACACAGGGAAGCTGACGCTCCCCGCCTCTCCATCTCAGACGACCAGCTGGCGGAAACGTCCGCCGCAGGTGAAATAGCTGAGCTCAGAGACCAGGTTGAAACCTTCGTGTCCAGGCAATACTCTGGACTACTGCAGAGCGTTCAGACGAACGCCGCCGATGCTGCAGCCATGCGCCGCGATCTTGACGGCGCCTCAGGGATCATTGACTCCAGGATCGCCGAAGATCGACGCATCATAGGAGAACTGCAGTACCAGGTTGATCGTGAGGTGTCACACTCAGGTGAACGAACGGCGATGGTCGAGAACCTGCGCAACTACCTCGCGCAGATGGAGCAACAGCTTGTGCTCGTACGCGACACAGGCGTTTCAGCAGTCAGGATTTTACATGATGAAATCCACGACCAGCTCCGCAACCGACCAGCGCCAGCCGAGGCCACCGACCTTGGCGACGTTCAGTCTCAGATCACTGATCTTCGATCTTATCTAGACCACACTGCGGCGACGCTTCGCAACGAAGCACGCGCCAACTCGTCGAGCCTGATCGACATGTTGCAGCGTACTGAAAGAGTCATCACTCAAAGGCTTGATGCGACCATCGCTGTCGTGCAGCCACTCGCTAACCGGATCTCTGACATCGAGCAGCGTTTCCCTGGTGTACAGGACGCCCTGGCAGAGTTGCGTGTCGGACGAGCCCAGACTGATCAGCTGGATTCCCCCCCCGCGGTTTACGATTTCGCCCGCCTCACTGACAGGCTGCAGGAGGTCCAGAAGGCGGCGGACCACGCGCAGTTGGAGCTCTCCCAAGTTATTCATGAAAGAGATACTGAGAAGGTACGTGTAGAGAGTCACCTCGCGCGTCTGGAAAGCGAGCTGGAGGCGCAAAGCGCCCGTCTCCGAGCATGCGAGCAACGACTTGATCGGTGTCCACAACGTTCTCGGGATACTGATGAGTATACACGCCAAAAGGTGGGTCAAATACACGAAGATGTGACGAGCTGGACGAATCAGCTGATCGACCACACCACCGACACCAACCTCCACCTTCGACCTGCACCCGACCTGCACAGGCCGACGGCAGCGTCCGCCGAAGCACCACAAGCCTCTGCAGGACAACAACGACGTACGTTACCAGGAGCAGCCTCTGCGGCAGCTTCCGCACAGACACGCCATGTGTCTCCTGTGCGCACAGAACCAACTACCGACGGTGCACCGATACCCTCACAACCATTGTCTGCGGTGTCGGTCCATACTACAACTCCTATCAAGGAGTCAGACACCGTCCGAGCCCCTGTCTTGCCTAAGATCACGCAACTGCTCGAGTGGCATCAAAAAGTACGGAAGAACTTTGGGGCCGCCTCAGGGCGACCATCCAAAGCATACGCCTTCCTATGCGTGGCTGAACAGCCCGAATGTACATTCGAGGACTTACAAGACAGTGGAGACTTTGAGAGCATCGATTGCAAACTCGCTACCGCTCTGAGCGACATCTTATCCTCGGACTTACGCTACCAAATCAGGCTCATCGAAACTAGAGAGCACAAAGCAGGACGCGTGCTCAAAGGACGCCAGATCTACTGGCACATCCTACAGTCCTACAAAGTGACAGAGGTTGATGACGACCTGCACGATTTCGAGCGCCTTAAAGAACTGAGGATGAGAGATGACGATTTGCGACGTTTTATTACTGACTGGGACGCTTTACTCTTGGAATGCCGAGAAGCGCCCGATCCAAAAATATTGGAATCGCTGTTTCGTACACAGATTTGTAGACATGTATGGATGAAACAAGACATGTACGAGTACCAGCGCATGAAGATGAGCGACCCGAATCGTACATATGGTTGGCTTCGACAGCGCGTCCTGGACATACTGGAGCTTAAACAATTGGAGAATAATCCAAACAAGTTACGGTACGAACATGTGACACGATCTCAAGTCAACGTGTGCGCCGCCTGGAAGAAAGGCAATTGTCGCAATGGTGAGCGGTGCAAGGTTTTGCATACATATTCCAGGAATTGGAAGAACAACAAATCTTCCAGAACATCAACGGCTGGTGGCAACCCCCGCCGTAGTATGTCCACTCCTGCGAATCACAAGAAGCCAGCATCGAAACCATTTTGCTTCGATTTCGCCAAGCGCAACACATGTGCCAGAGGTGATAAGTGCAACTTTCCACACGTCGCACAGTGTAAAGATTTCGCACAGAACAAGTGCACAACAGGCGACACATGCAAATACGCTCATCTTGCACCTGGTGCAAAGACTCCTGAACGAAGCCCGAGTCGACCACGGACCTCCAGCCAGGATAGCCGTGGCCGATCACCATCCCGCGGATCAGGAAGCCAACGGTCTTCACAACGCGGGGGGTTTCGCTGTGCAAGCGACT